CCTCCTCTCTCTCTCTCTCTCTCTCTCTCTCTCTCTCTCTCTCTCTCTCTCTCTCTCTCTCTTCTCTCTCTCTCGTTCTCTCTCCTCCAGACACGCATCCGCGCAAAAACACAGGCGCGCGCGCATATTCGTGTACATACACAAAGCTAGTTGCAATTTTTTTTGTACTTTTTGTGGTTCATTTCTCAAATATTTCCTGCAATCTGATCAAATAGATCGCACCGATATCGCGTAGAAGAAGAAAACCGGTTTGGATTTATTCGGGCAGAAAGAAATAGGATTAAAGTCACTCGTATGATACATGCTCTGTGCTGATGCGTGAACTTATCGCGTGCGCGCGACTTTTGCGAAATTATAATTTCGACGTTTATATTTACTTCCCGATAGAGAAAGTGCCCCGGCGAATTACACCGAACGGGCGAACGTTGTTTTGCAGAGCCATATCGAGAATCGTGTTTCTGGTTTTTGCGAGTTTTAAGTATGAGAATTTATGGCGGCTTAAAAACTCTAGTTTCTCCTTCGGAAATCCTGATAAATGCGCGCGGGAAGGACGCTTAGGTATGTACGCCAGACTCAGTTTCAGGGCGCCGTGTACTCCTGGAAAGGCAAAGTAATTCTAGGCCGAACAGCAAACGGCAGCTCGAACGGGAGATACAAGCGCGTGTAAACAATTTTCAAGTAACAAGAGCTGCGCGAGTTTGAATTCTAAGGAAGTATTTATTGTCCGAGATCACATTGTGTTCATTCCCTTGTAATAGCGAGGAATAAACTTCAGATAAAAAAAAATTCATCGTAATACGTTTGTCACGAAGAACTTATGTGGCACACATAAAAAAAATTCTGCATTAACCAAACCTATTTTACATCAAAGTAAAACATGACCTGGATGGATAGAATCATTACAGTTGGTTTGTTATTTTAATTCTTTTCCTTACCTAGCGCAATGTCATTCGTGTAAACGCGAGAAAGTGAAACGGAATTAGCGAGGTAAAGTTTTGTTATCTCTCATTCCCCATGAGAGATCCGCCCTAGACTAACCCTTTCGCTCTTTACGCCAACTATTGATATCCCGAGATACCAACACTAGTGAAACTCAGACTCAACGTGCATGTGACCGGACAAGGCACCATGTGCATTCATTCTATTACAAAAGAAGCTGAACCAGCATTCGCGACCCGACCCATCGCATCCCTAGCACGTTGTATATATAAATGTCCCGAGTCAAACTCTCAAACAGTTGGTCTTACATGACGGTCTCGCTCTCCGAAAAGAAACAGGGCTCCTTCGTAGCTTTCAATATTTTGCATCGTTTTGGTCCGATTGTTATGGCAATTGAACGACGATTTGCGCATAATTGAATGATACTTAATTTACCGTTAAGATTTAATTCTAATCTCTCGATAGAAATAATTTCTTTTGTACTTTCTTACGGCAAAATGGCGTTCGCTGCTCGTTACAAAAGAAATGAATTTAATGTGTTTGAAATATAGTAACATGTGTACAACATGTGAAATAAGTTAACACTCCGTCGTTTCTGTTTATGCTTCAGGTGAGTGGCAGGCTGCACCCGCTGTCTCTGCAATGCCAAATAGATGGTCGATGTGCGTATCTGTCGATCGTCAATTTATCGGTTGCGGCGAATCGGATGCTGCACCCGGTGAGTGACGAACCTTCCCCCACCATGGCTACCTCCCGTAGCTCACTTTGACCGATATGCTCCCAGACCAATCAGTATCCAAGTACACACAGTATCATCCATATAAGCCTAGCTCTGTTGTAGTCGTTCCCCTTTCTGGTCTCTCTACCTGTAGTTTCTGCTTTGGTGCAGTAGCATGTAGATAGGAGGTTGAATTATCGAGGGTGGCCGATCAGCCAACGTCCGCGGATCCGGGGTGTCGTTTGCGAAAAATCGACCGAAAACAGAGTCGCATTCTCGCGATGTGCATTGCGATAAGTTGCACGCAACTTGGAAACTGATATACGTAACGAAAGGGCTACAACTATTTATAGGGTTAAAATGTAGGACGTAAAAAGCATCTAACTCACTCAATAGGCGAGATCGAGTCGGTGCTGACGATTAGTTCGGGACGAGCTTAGCAGAGGCACGACTCTTTTTCATAACTCATAATGTACAAAACTACTATTAGCGCGATTCTCCTCATTGTCCGTCGTTTAATATATTTTCTCTCGAAAATGCGCACTCGATACAGCCTCGCAAGAAAAAGAAAGAGAGAGAGAGAGAGAGAGAGAGAGAGAGAGAGAGAGAAAGAGTGAGAGAGAAAAAGTAGAACAAGTAATTTTGTCTGTTGATGTTATGTTTTTGTTATTTTTTATTATCTACGAAGCAATGAGAAAGTGCGTTTATATTGTTACCACTTTCGCTTTGCTATAATGATATAATTTCGCTCATCTGTTATAAAAAGACTGTTTTATTTCATTTCGTTATTAATTAGAATTATTATTTGAAAACGTGTACCGGCAAAGTGAGACTAATGATGGAAACGTACTTTTTTCGATTGGTACAAAATATATAGTATATATATATATATATATATCGATATTCGATAATTTTGTTAATATTGTATAGAAACGTTTATAATGTGCGTCTGCTTAAGTACCTGCTAAAGCGGTCGAGTGTGCGCGGTCTCGAGATGGATATCTCCTTTGAAATAAATTTGGCGAGGACTTTGTGCCGAAGGGGAGAGAAGGATAGAACGTTTCTTTATTTCAATCAACATCGGTCTGACAGAAGCAAGACGAAAAAGATAGATTACAGATGCGAATATTGTAATGTATGTATCTAGTACCTAGACGCCCGCTCTCTAATAAAGAGATCTGTGGCGCTATCCTATACGGTAACTCTATTCTAGTTAATGAATGTATACGAATAGCCGCTAAGAGGATGCGAGAGTAATACGTAAACGCAGTATTTCTAAGAGGTATGTAATGTTAATAGTTATTTATTTTGTGGATCTCTCGGAACAGATATTTCATTGCTCTGCTGTGCTATACGTTTTTAATTATTAGGTACATAGTCCTGTTAGGGGTAGGCGTTACCTATGCGTAGTGGTAGTTATTTGTGTAAATGTTCCGCGTGGCAAATTCATCCCTTTTTTTTGTAATATATTAGGATACTAACTGTCTACAAATCTCTGAATCCTGATTATATGTAATCCGACAGCGACCAGGGCCGAACTAGCTGCCTATCACTAAGATTATATTCCGGCGTTTTTCGGGACGGTTGCCGTTTTCGAACGCTATTGTAATATTACATTGATTATACGATTGCTAAAAAAAAATAAATGCGATGTAAACTTACTTACACGTCTCACGCTTCATTGTCTGCGGCCCTGGCCGCAGCAGTTTGTCCCATGCCAGATCCGCTTTCCTTCATCCCGCCATTTGTCTCTCCCGCGATACAAATTTTCGGAATCGATACATGCAATTGTTAAATTGCGTCGCGGGTACGAGAGATTTTTAAGTACTTTTTTTAATTGCGGTGTTTTTTAAATCAAGATTATTCATCGTAAACGGAAGCATGACTCGAACGCGAGCGAGCATTCTCACTTCGCCTTCGCGTTTCCTAAACAATTTCTGAAGGATATCACGATGTAGAGAGTTGGAGAACGTGCGGCGCTTGCTTTACGGCACTTAAAGCACTCGTTAGGCGGCGTCATCGCGGCATAGGACGGAACCGCCTTAACGGGCGCCGCGTTGATCCGGAGTTGAGCTTTCCACGGACAGCCATAAGTCTCGCGACGCTCCGCGATATTAATATGTTATTGCGGAAAGACTCCCTCATGAAAGTCGACAAGGACTGCAAAAATATGTCTCGCGCGTCTCGGCGTCTCCAGGGGTGGCACACACGTTCGGCATAGCATGGTGGATACCGCTATCGTTCGCTATTCCTGTATACGTGCGCCGACACGCACGAGCATATACAATCGCATGCCCACATATACAGACGGGAAGCTCTCGTTACTACCGTACACGTAGCGGGGAGCGGTTGGGGGCAGAATTCAGCAGACGCCATTTGTATTAATGAAGCTCCCGACAATGGTGCACGCCCGATGAATTATGTACCTACGTTCGAACCGAACGAAGGTACATAACCGATCTAGGCGTAAGTTTGCCATTGGCCTCACGCAACACTTCCTATTCCCTGATCCTTTAGTTATAACTTTGATCCTTTTAGTTTATAACTTCGTGATCTTTGGTCCCTTAATCTGAGGACGAAGCCGTTCCTGCCATTCTTCGAAAATCACGTTTTAGAGATCCTGTTACACGCGTGCACTTTCGTACCGCGCGAACGTTATTGTCCCAAGTCTAAGAAATAAAATGACGCTTCCTCTTGAAAGTCAATGCTATTTAAGAAGAAAAATATACCTACGTTCATTTCGAGAAAAATTAAAACGAAACTTTTGTTGCAACTTGTTTCATACATATTTTTCTGGATTAATAGTCTGAAAGCTCTATTGCATATTGTTAATTAACAATGTGTGTATTACGTATTGGCTTTTTATGTTTTTATTTAGTTGGATGCACCATTTTTAGTTTTCAAAAAAGACGAAATAACCAAGACTCTCAAGATTGAACCAACGAATTGCGTTATTTTTAATTTTGTTGCGTTGAAACTTTCTTAACATTGACTAACATTTAAATTAAAAGCCGTATTCTTCGGTTGGTAAAAAAAATATAATTTTGATCAAAACCGGGAGCATTAGCTGCGTAGCTGCAATCTATTACGTGAAAAGACGTAGCGAGGCATCCATCTCGCCATGGCACGGATAAAACGACCGCTTTACTTTGGATTACAGGGGGAACAATTTACAGCAGGCACAAGAGCACCTGTTCGTTCTTGAGGAGATGGAAAGGTAGGGACGCGCACAACGCGAGGGGTAGTCTTTTAAGGGTGGGAATAGCGTGCTTTGCAGACGTTGCGGTAATTGAATCCCAGTAAGTCCCTCTATATAGGTGTATCCACTTAAATGTATAACACTATTCTCCTCCTCCCGCGCCATCTTTCTTTCGCTTCTTTAATCTTACCACTTCTCTCCTATCTCGCGCAATGATTTTTCGCCGACGGTTAGATATTATAAGAAATTTTATTCGCAGGTCTCTCTCGATTCGACGAAACGGCTCACAGGTGACGCGCTGATTAGATACATACTTTTTGTCCTCAGTTTTCAAGTTTACACATTTCTCTTAAGTCTTTTTATAATTTTTTAAATAATTTTTTTCCATGTTTGTTATTGAACGTACACGATATATTTTTCTATAGTATATTAGAAGAGCGCGTGCGACGTGTTAAAAATTATTACCTTTTTATTCCATAAGAAATCGGCAATAGGTCTCGCTGTGTGAAAACTCATTCTGCCATGCTCCTCGAGGAGTCTACTATCCCAGCAACGAAATCCTGATGTACGAGCTTCACGTTTCAGCAGCTCCTTGGCTCGGGCCGACTGATATGAATGTGTTAGGTGTAGATGAGCCTAGCGTGCTCCGCCCTCATATAATTACTTCACGCTTCTCTCTCCGTAACCTGGTGCCCTCAGATACCTCCTCCCTTCTCTTCTCCTCCTTCTCCTTCACCCCCTCCCCCCTCTCTCTCTCTCTCTCTCTCTCCCTCCGTCAGTGATGTTCTAGCGGTGTTTCTATACCGTCGTGCTCTTGCAGGGTGGTTTGCCCGTAGTTGCATGCACCGCTCGCAAATACCATCGTATCCTGTGCGCTTGGTATAACAAGGGGGTTGGAGGAGGATTCAGTCGGGTTTGAGGGGGTGTTGTGCAAAGGGGAGGTTATTAGGCAACGCAGCACCTCATCCCTCATCCACGTAGCCGCGCCGCAGCGTGTATTATGTAACAACACGGAAACGAACTGTGAGGTGGTTGGTTGGCCGAAAGAGAGATGGAGAACGGTCGAGTGGGATAGAGAAAGAGAAATGCAAAAGCCTCGCTGATGTTGCTCTTGCTGCTGCAAATATTACACGTATTTGTAACGATGCGCTCGTAACTCTCGGTTAGTATCTGTTATTTCCACGAAGTGCTGAATCATTTTCGATTTGAGCACAAATTATAACTTCGCGCGTTTCAGGAACGTTCGTTAAGATTCGTTTGCACCAGCCAAGATCATTCGCGATAGCGAGTTTTGGTAGTGAGTTACCTTGTCAGATTCCTGACGCGAGTACATTCTATGAATTTGATAAGATACATTTGGCTGTAACTTAATTTATTGTATAATTAAAAGATGTGTGTATCAGTGAGGGGTGAAAATGTCTCACATTTTATTATATTTGCATTTATGTGCACTATAACGCATGCATGAGGCAATCTGATACTTGTTCGGATAAATTCAGAGAACAAATCCCACTAATATATGAATCTAGAACTTTAATAATAGCTACTAAGTTTGGAACACATACATCTCACGGTATTATCAGAAATCTTAATTTACAATTGAGTTCTGGCGGTTTAACGGACATTTTGCGGCCAATATAATGTCTAATAATTCTAATAATTCGCCGGTTTAGAGATGAATGGTGGGAGGGAAGGGTGGTGGCGCATAGGGTGAGAACGTTCCCTGGAGCCGTGCCCGGGAAGGTAGGGAAGTGAAACCGAGATGAAACGAACGAGGCGAGGGAAGGGGGAGACAGAGAGAAGGAGGTATGGAAGAGAGGGAGAGGAGAAGAAGGAACAGGTCGACCAAGGGTATGGGCCGAGGAAATGGAGGGAAGGCCAATTAGAGGGCGGGAAGATTTATCTGCGGGCGACGGGTGTGCGGATAGTAAGGGGTAGGTTGGTCTCTTCTGCCTAGTGCACTTGTATTATTTCTTGGTTGGACAACCCCGTTCAAGATAACGGCAACGTCCACCTGCTATTGGCTGTTCCTGATCCTTTATGAATTAGTTGTTAATTTAATTTCCCGTTGTCATCTGCATAATATGGAAGAGCCGTGCCATTTTTGTGCATGTATTCTCATATCATTGTGTCTAGTTTATACGATTATATGGAAATAATACATTTTTATTTTTATTTTGAATAATTAGAAACCGTTCGTCTCGACTCGAGGTAGTTGTTTCGCGACAGTAATGCTCAAAAGTTTCTACCAGACAGGAGCCAGCACTCAATTATTACAACGATATATCTTGATGCAATATTATTCTATAGAATACCTTTACGATTAATACATATGTAATATAAAATAGATTCGAAAGATTATAGTTCGAGGCGCTGTTGCCACATCTCTTACACTACACTCATATCTACTACATAATTCTTCCCATTTTTCAGTTTTAACTATTTATATTGTTGAAACGAAACGGTCAGTAATTTTCATTTTTTTCAGTTATTCGTTCTATTTTACTTTATAACATATTTGTTTCCTATACGAATCTCACTCACCGTTAAGCTTAAAAAAAAAGTGCCATCATTTGCATTTGCAAACGCAAACATTAATATTTTAACACATAATAATATGTGTAAATAATATTTCACGTGTAACAACATTTTTAACGTGTTGTACACGTAATATTTCGGTGACATAGCAAACTTTAAATTTTTTTTTTAGAACTTTGAAACTGTCAATTTTAATTTAATTAGTCTTATTTTTCAAGTATTAATGTCAAGAATAAACTGTAAAAATTTGAAACAATTCTCACATAAATGATTTTACGAAATAACTACCTTAAATACGTGAATTTGCTGATGATGATGATTCCATCTAAATGAAACTGTTATATGTATATGTGAAAGGGAACCGGCGCGGCGCACAGTGCAGGTGAAAAAACGGTGTAAGAATTCACATATTAAAATTATTGGACTACCTACATCTTGCTTGGACCTAACAGGCTTTCTCGTTTCTTGTAGAATTTTTATTGTTTATATATGTATAAATATCGAACTTTTTTACTTTATCGAATGCATTGAATATATATCTCTGCTTTTCAGTCTTTCACAATGGCAGACGGAATTAATAAATAACATTTTTCTTCAGATATTACATTACAATAAAATTTTGTCGCATAAAGATTCAGTATATCGTATACAAACTACGTACAAAAGAATATTTCCCGGTAATGCCGCGTGTACGGATCTTAAATTATTTTAATAAGAAGCTTTGACGTCGCAAGTGTCTAGATGATAGG